GCGGTGTGTGCTGTGCGCACCGAGAGAGTCCATGCCAGCTTGTTTGGCAGCCCCTCGATGCAATATGCGGGATACATCAAATGCCCTTCTTTTCTCCCGCTTTGGTGTTTTCATTTGTTGCTGTTGGCATTTTGTCTTTTTTCTCCTCCTCCTCCTCCTTCTTTTTCTGGTTTGTTTGCTGAGATTGTGCAGTTCCTCTCATCACGTTTCATCACACAAACGGCATCGCCAGCCTTTCTCCTCAAATTTCCACCCACCAACTCGAGGCATTCATGACCATCCATCACCCTTGTGTCCCGCACCCATATCCATCCGATATTCCTCGAGTTTTCTCTCGTAATTGTTATTGTTGTTTTTATTGTTGTTGTTGTTGTTGTTGTTGCTAAACCCTGGCTCGGCATTGGGCGAAATGGCAGCCACATAACTCGTGATTTGCTCATCGGCCTTGGCCTTTGTATCTCTTTGCATGGCTATGTTTTAGAAACCCCAATCCCTTTGTTTGATCGAGCAGCCCTCGATCCCCTTCTCTTGCATCTCAACCGCGTCGACAGCCCGACTCAGCTTGGTCGCTTTGCCACTCATCTTTTCATCTTCTTTCGACTGCGACGACAGTGGCAGTTGCCATCGCTTGTGCACTTGCCTGATTTGACAAGACTCTCTTTCTTAAACCCACCCGGAGACCCACGCTCTACTCGGCAATTATAGCAGGCGCCCCCTGCCTGCCAGTTTCAGTCCCTTTGTTGCCCCGTGGTTCTCGCCATCCCACGATGAGCGCTGCCATGGAGGTGACACAGCCCAAGGTGCGTGGGGAGCACTCGTCAAAGCCTGCAGCAGCTTCCATCCCACAATTGGCATAGCTCTGACCGAGTCACTTCTCACCTGGGTTACTCTGCGCCAATCCCCCCCCCCCCCCCCTGTTCAACGGCAGCGATGGTGCCAGCAATCTCGACTCGTCGGGTTCTAACATCACCTCCTTCCCCGACATTGCAGCTCGTCCCAATTCAGCTGCTCGTTCGCAGTTGAGCGCCGCTAGCCGCTCGCTCAAATCCGCTAGCTCAGTCTCGGGCGCCAATCACGCGTCGGCCGCGCGCGCCTCTGTCAAAAACGAGTTTCCCCTCACTCCCTCCAAAGCTCTCGAGCGCTACGGCCGCTACCTGACTGCCTTTGAAGAGCAGGAAATCCAGGCTTATCAGCAAATTTGGTATGTCGGCCAGTTGGCCCGCAAAATCAATGCCTCAGAGGGCAAGGGCCCCAACTGTGGTTATGACGATGACAAGGGTCGCTACAAGTGCATCAAGCACGATCACATTGCCTATCGTTACGAGATCCTCAAAGGCCTTGGCAAAGGCTCTTTCGGTGATGTCGTCAAGGCCTACGATCACAAGACGAAACAGCATCGTGCCGTCAAGATTATTCGCAACGAGCGCCGCTTCCACCGCCAAGCCCAAGTTGAGGTTAAGGTCCTCGAGCTTCTCAAGCGCAACGACCGTCGTCACAACCACAACCTCATTCATATCAACGACTGGTTCCTTTTCCGGAATCACCTCTGCATCTCCTTTGACATGCTGCACCAGGACCTCTACACCGCCCTGAAGAAGGACGGTTTCCGTGGTTTCACCCTGCCCCAAGTCAAGAAGTTTGCGGGCTCCCTGCTCAACTGCCTCCGCCTTCTTCGGCGCCAACGCGTGATCCACTGCGATCTAAAACCAGAAAACATTCTGCTCACCACGAGCGAGTCAGATGACATCAAGGTCATTGACTTTGGCAGCGCCTGCCTTGACCACCAAAAAGTCCATACCTATATTCAAAGCCGTTTCTACCGCGCCCCCGAAGTCATCCTAGGCCTGGGCTACAGCATGGCCATTGACATGTGGAGCCTCGGCTGCATCCTCGTCGAGCTGTACACGGGCCATCCCATCTTTCCCGGTCGCGATGAGAAGGAGCAGCTCATGTATCAGATTGAGGTGCTCGGCATGCCCCCCGGCCCGATTCTCGAAGCCGCCAAGCGCACCGCCATCTTCTTCGACTCCAACGGTGATCTGCGCGTGACTACTGATCGCAAAGGCCGGACCCATACACCCAGCTCCAAGACGCTTCAAGAGGCCGTGGGTGTCAACGACGAGCTGTTTATCGACTTTCTTCACGGTATGTCTTCCGTTTTTCGTCCAGTCTCATCGCCATCGCACACGAGATGTGCCTCATCTCATTCTCATCATTCCATCTCGTGGCATTTCTTTCGCTGCACGCCTTGTGCCACTTGCAGGGTGTTTCGAGTGGGATCCCAGCGATCGCATGACCCCTAAAGAAGCCACCAAGCACCCCTGGATTACCGGCATCGTCGAATCCGACGAGCCGCTCGAGCCCAACCTTGAAGCAGCACTCGGCGCCATGACCGTGACGGCTGCTGCTCCCATGCCATCCGTCGTCAAGCTTTCTACTGACATGCAGCCTTGAGCTCATTGACCATGCATTTAAACCTTCTTCTGACCCAATTCTGGGCTTGACACTTGATTTTATCCGGGGAGCGGGGGGCGTTGTCAGGCGGAAGAGCAGAGGATGGTCAAGGGTGGATGTGCCGCTGCGCAGCACACCCCATCCCACCGTCTGATGCCCCTCTTCCTGTTCCTTGTCTCAGTTCTTTCTTTTCTTTACTTCCCTTTTCTTGACGGCCTCGCTGTTTTTTTCACTTCCCTCCTCTTTTTCTTTCTTTTGACATGGGGTGGCTTTGGCACTTTGTCGTTTTGCCCCCATCCGCCCGTGGTCACTTTCTTTCATCGGGCATGTCGTGCTTTTTGTTGCTCTGCGTTGCTGCCCTTGACTTTGACTCAGTCCAGTTTTTGATGGGTCAACAAGACCTGCCTCGAGGTTTGGCTTGTTTGTTTGTTTGACTCAATGCCCTGTTGTTGATGTTGCCTGCCGTGCCTTCTTTGTACAAGGGGCTCGTGCTTTTTTGTCTAGTTAGCTGCCAATCTTGTGTTGTTGGCATATCTGCTCTCGTGTGCAAGAATTTGTTTGTAGCCCCAGCAGCATCTCGTGTTTGCCCTTGCTGTTATTTTGGATGGCTGTGCTGCACGCGCGCCAATTGGTCGCTCGCCTGCCTGTCTCCCTGTCTATACTTATTGCTCCTGGCTCAGTCTACCCGGCTCAGTCTAGCCGCTAGCTGCGTTTTACCCTAAACAAGCTGTTATTTTTGTGATGCTTCTTGACCTTGTCGCCGAACACCTGTGCCGATCATGTGCGTGGGTGCTCATGCGCACGTGTTGTTTTGCCGTGCCACTTGGTCACGTGGATTGCTGAGTGACCCTGCCAATCTGTGATTGTCTACCTTTGTTCATAAATAATCTGCCTTGAGCCTGATGCTTGCTGTTTTCTCTTCTCCCCATCACCTTTTCATTCTCTCGAGGGTGCAACTTGTGCCTTTGCATTAATCGATTTTTCTTCACTTAACAGCAATTGCATGTTTGTCAACATCATCACTGATCAAGAACAATGATAGGATACGAGAGGCCAGCCTAGGCGGTCTACGCAGCGCGGCGAAAGCTGGCCGAAGTCGTGGTGGAGGCCACGAGCTGCAATTGGGATGGGGTGGCGTTGATCAGAAGAGTACATCGGTAGGGTGTTGCCACACCAATTTGCCACACAAAGGCCGCACTGCATGTGCTGTCCACGAAGCATGCAATCAAGCAAGCATCAATGGAGTCTGTGCGCGACTCGCGTAGCTCTGCTGTGGCGTCCCCAAATACACCGCGAAAGCGCATCGAGCGGGGTAGGTCAGTCAGTGCAGCCGCACTAGCGTTGTTAACCGCCTCGTCGAGGTCACCCAAGGCCACTAGGCGCATCGGGCTCGTTGGCAATAGCCAGGCGAGGGCCACAGTGCCCAGCTGTGGCAGTCGGCCCACAGTTTTGACAAAACTGAGTGAGGTGGAGCTCGTGCCTACCAACTGCGTTGCCGCAGACGCCTGGATCAAGTGGCAGCGCAGGTCCTCGGCATTACCAGCCCGCCATACAAATGCGCTTCCGCAATCCTCGAGCAGCGTGCAGGCATCCTGGCATGCACGAGGACTCGACACGCGCAATTTGGAAACGAGTTTGGTATCGGTAAAGCCACTGACAAGACGCTGGGGCTTTGCAAGGACTTGCTGTGCGCCACATGCTGCTTCTGAAAAGCCAGGGTGAGACCATGTGTGACAATCCAGCTCCAGAGGATGAGGATTGGATGTCGATGGGGGCGCTGTCGAGGCGCTGGGGGTGGAGGTGCCCGTGCGCTGGCGAATCAGGCTGATCGACAAGGAGCCTGTGCTGACGGTGTCCTCTTTGGCTGAAGAGAGAAGATGACAGCGTCGCGTATTGGCATCACTGTTGGCCAGCCAAAGGAAGATCCCGCGGCACGCATTCCTGGTTGAGCACAAGCCAAGGCAGTCCTCGGTCGAACGCACATGGACCTTGTCCAGGATGAAGTTGTCGTCAAAGCCGGAGCGAAGGCGTCGGGCTTTGTTGCTTTGCACACCACATGCCACCAGCTCAAAGCCAGGATAGGCTGCGCTGTCGCAAGACAACACTGCGTTGGTTGCTGTGGATGTTACAGTTTTGGTCGCAGCTGAGATAGTTGTTGTTGTTGTTGTTGTTGTTGTGGTGGTGGTAGTTGTTGCGGGAGTGGTTGTAGTGGCACTAGTCGTAGTGATCGTCGTCGTCGTCGTTGTCGTCGTTGCTGTTGTTGTTGTTGTGGTGATGGTGGTGGTGACCGTAGTAGTGGTTGTAGTAATAGTAGTAGTGGTGGTAGTAGTAGTAGTAGTAGTAGAGGTAGTGTTGGCATCGGTTGCGTTTGTGGTTGTAGTGGCCGTAGTGGTGGCAGGGGTCAAAACAGGGGCAGTAGTTGTGACAGTGGAAGTAGGACTGGCAGTCGAAGTAGTTGTAAGAGTCGTAGTCGTGGTCTCGTGTAGGAGCACGGTAGTAACAGCTGCGCGAGTGGATGTCCTTTCGAGTGTGGGTATTTCGGTCTCTTCAGCTTCATTTGTAGGCTGTTCTTCGCTGATGGACTTGTCGGTGGTAGCCGTTGTCGTTGGCAAGCTGGTTTTGGGGTATGCATCTGAAACAGCCGCGATGGCAAGCATACAACACAATCATCAGTCCTGTTTGCTGTGTGCTGGCGCTTCTAGTCATGTTTTGATGAACACGAGCTCAGCTCATTGCCGAGTCACGCACGGGTGGGCGAGACTGTACCGCAAGTCAGGCGAGCACTGGGCTTGCTGAACCAGCCTTGTCCATTGTAGAACATCCATGTATCCACAATATCCTCTGGACGCTCTGCATCGGATTGCACGACTGCATAGTACGCATCTATAGGCAAGGCATCTCGACAAGGTGAGGTACGAGCGTTGCGAGTCAAGGGTTGCGCAGAAGGTGAAGGCACAAATGCTCACCGGCAGTGGCCGAAGCCCCAATAAACCAAAACCAATTGTTGCGAGCCAAATAGAGTACTCCAAAGCTTGTGTATCGCCTGTGGGCCAAACGGTTGATTGTGCTGAGTCAAGTTTGGATTCAGCTTGCTTCAAGTCTTCCTCAAGCTCTGAAACCACTTGCTCTTACACGTAGTATGGTAGGCCCGACACGGTGCCTTCTTGCGTGTAGAGGCCGTTTGCATAGGTTTCGTAGCCATCGAGCCCGCTCAGTTCCACCACGGCGCAGAACGGACCTGGAGTAGCAGTGACAAGACTTAGAGGCTGCGTAGCAAGAGGGCAGGGGAGGGGGGGGCGGAGGGGGGATATACATATAACGCTCCCATCATTTGATTATCCACACGCGTCTTTGCAGTGATGGGAGGCAGCCTTTGGCAAGTGAACGCACCAGGGTCAGGCGCAGCGTCAAAGATCGTGACGCTATAGCTGACTTGAGCAATGGTATCTGGAAGAAGAATGTTGTTCACGAAGACGCTCCAAGTGTTATCTTCCATAAAACGCTCGACGCCCGTGAGCATGACGCTGAAGACGATGGCTGGGTCACCAAACCCACGAGCACGAGAGACCACGGGAGTCGGAACCCGTCTGCGAGTGACATCCAGCACGGTAACTGTGGCCAAAGAAAAATTGGCATTTGGCATGGATAGTGACCAGCGATGGCTCGAGGGCACGAGCTGCATGGGAAAGAAGCCGGCCGAGGGCCAGGCGATCCAGGCTGGTTCGTTCTGAGCGCGTGTCCAATCGCCATTTACCACCCACACGACGCTGGCAGCCCGATGACCACCCGCGGGTGCAACATCTCCGACGCCAATCTCGGACAAGGGCGGGTACAAGAGCCAGCGTCGGTGGCCAACAGGCTCGTTGCCGTCACCCATATCGTCCATCAGGCCTTGCAAAGCCTCTACGCCAAAGGTACCAAGTGAGAGATCGCTCTTACTTGCGGCCAAGGCGCCGGACTCTGTATAGCAGGGCCAGTCTGGGGTCGGGTAATGGCTGAGGCGGTCACCAGCAGCCATCATCAGCGCTGCCTCGAGGCACCAGGCCGACTTGGTGACATTGAGCGTAGTAGGGGCCACTCCAGCCTGCCACAGGCATCATCCCAAAGCAACGTGAGCACCTGCCGCACGCGTACCGTTAGACATCCCTGCAGAACCTCCTCGGCATGAGCGGGGTTGGCCTACCAGGACACGAAAAAAGTTGAGGCGCTGCAAAACAGCTGCTTGATGTGCCAGAGGGTTGAGGGTGCCGTCTAGCGCGCAGGTGAGCGGGTCATGGGTACCCGTGTAGTGATCATTAACCGCAGTTTTGAACTGGGTGTCAAAAAGGGCCTGAACTTGCTCGCGCGTCATGGGCGCCGTGCGGCGCACTCGCTCGTGCTGCGCGAGCAAGCGATCGGTGTCTTGCTCAGATCTGGTAAAATCTTCTACCCGTGGGGCGGCGCTGCCAGGATCGGGGATGACTGAAGCGCCTCGAGGCCACGGTGCTGATGCGGCTGGGCGCAGCGCCGGCATAGGTGCACCATCCGAGGGTGGTGCGAGCGCTAGGGCCAGCAGCCCTAGCGCTAGCGTCAGTCCGCTTCTTGGAACCATGGTGAGGCGCATGGGTATAGAGGCCAGACTACACGATGACCGAGTGGCACCAAGTGTTGCGTGCGGCCAAGCCAGCCATCCATGCATCACACAGATCTTCATCGGGGACACAGAGACACAGAGGCACAACGCAGGTCGCAAGGACACAGGCCAACCTACATGCATGCATGCATACAAAGAACACAAAAGTCAGACGCATTTGAGCTGCCACACGAGCTGTGTTTCAGACCCAAACGCCAAAGAGGAGGAGCCACTGGCTTGAGAGCATTATGATCAACACGAGATGGTTTGAATGGCAAAAGTGTCAATTTGATGATGTGGCGAGGCCGAGGCACAAGACATTGTTCGTTGTATCCGAGAAGAACGATACCACTGATGGCATTATTGCTCGGCCCCAAGCAGCTGCAAAAGCGTCATGACGCCAAAGCCCGTTGCTCCCTTGCCATAGGCTCCCCAAGGCTGGATCACAATGGGATGGATGAATGCGTGCAATCAGATGGCATGCAACATGGCGCGTAGTAGCAGCCCAGCGGCATGCGTTGAGCGGGGGCGAGAGCCAAGCACCAACAGACCTTGGAGGCGTCCACAGGCCCCGCAATATCGATATGTGCCCAGGCAACGTCCTTGCTCACAAACTTGCTCAAAAAAGCAGCGGCCGTGCTGGCGCCGCCGTAGCGAGACGTTCCTAAAGACGGCAAGGCACAAACACGTCATGCGCACATGTCCCGAATCATGATGCAGGGCCATGCTCCACCAATGGCTGGTGGCTAGCCAAAATAGGTGCATGTTCTCATAGAAAGCGGCGCAACAGAGCGACACCTCACCCGTGCTGTTGACATCGGCGATATCGCTCTTAAGTTCGTCGGCATGCTCGGGCAACAGCGGCAGATGCCACATCACCTCATCCACGGCTGATCCGGCGGCGCACACGCGCGTGGCCAGATCCGGTGTGTTTGTGAAGACACCGGCGGCGTAAGGACCCAAGGCCACGACACAAGCACCTGTCAATGTGGCCAGGTCAATCACGGTATGTGGGGCATGCTGCTCCTGACCATAGCTCAAGGCTGGCCCAAGCACACAGGAAGTCAGGTCAGAAGCGGGGGTGAGGCGATCAAGCTTGACAAGTGGGGGGAAGGAAAAAAAAAACAAAAAACAAAACAAAAAACAAAACAAAAAAAAAACAACAAAAAAAAAAAAACGGAAAACTGAGAGAAGAAAAGAAAAGAAAAGAAATGCAGGTGATCAAGCTGCCTTGACTGTCGGGCCGGGTCTCTTACACACCGTCAGCCAAGGCGAGACGACCTTCAGCGTCTGTGTTGCCGACGGCCACGGTCAAGCCCTATGCGCATTGGGACAGGGTTGAGTCACAGAGAGACAACAATCACGATTATGGAAAATGGAGGGTGAGAAGGCTCATCCAGACCTTGTGGGATTTGAGCACGCTCATTGGCTTGTAAGCTGCGGCACCAATGGCGTTCTCTGCCAGGGCCAGCACCGCCACTAATAGGGAACAGGTCGAGAAGATCAGGCTATGATGAGAGCAAATACTTGACCAGGAACCGGTTGTGGCTAGGGTCAAAAAACCTAACAGACAAAACCAAACAAAACCAAGCAAAAAAAACCCAAACACACCAACGTTCTTCTTGACATCTGCCTGTGCAAGGGCCTTCATGGTTCCGAGCACGGTTGCGGCACCACCCATGTCAAAGTGCATGTCTTCGATAAAGCCAGTGGGTTTGAGGTTCAGGCCTCCGGTGTCAAAGGTAATGCCCTTGCCCACAAGGAGGACCGGCTTTTCCTCAGCTGGACCATTATTAAATTTGAGCGTCACCAGATGGGGAGGGAAGCGACTGGCTTGGCCAACGGCTGCCAGCATGTTGAGGTTGGCGGCATGTAGATCATCCAAGCCTGCAATGGCCTCACAGCTAAAGGCTGGGTGGGTTTTGGCAAGAGCCTCAGCAGCCTCATACAAAGCCTTGGGCGTCATTTCATCGGCACGTTCGTTGACCAAATCTCGCGTCCATTGTGCGCCGGCTGCGCCAGCCTAGGTGGCGGCGGAAGGATGAGATGAGAACGTCAACAACGCGCAAATTGCATCTGGTGGCAAGGGTCGTGGGGAGAGGGGATGAGGGGCCAATTGGTGCGCGAGAACTCTATGGGCTCCATGGTACCTCGATGCGGGCGTCAGTGAGAGGTTGATCGTTGACAGAGACAGATACGGTGTTGAGTAGCGTCTTCTTGGCCTTGTCACTGGTCAGGTAGCGCTCAAAGGCATAGTTGGAAGTGTGAAGGGCACGCAGTACGCTGGCTCCGACAGCACTGGCAGTTTCGGCTGCGGGTGGGCATCACAAAGGCCAAATGTAGTGAGTGGGCGCGATGGGCCAGGCGTCCCGACAGCAGCAGGGGTGTCAAGGGACCCCAAGTTCAGGTGTCGCTGCGTGGGTGAGAGACATTGGTCTTACTGGCAGTGCGCACGTCAATGTTGGCATCGGCTTCCTTGAGGGACTTGAGCGTACTGCTGGCCTTGACGGCGGCGCCGACGTAGGCCCGGCGCAAATCACTCTGGGCCTGTGGTGATGTTGTATCGGTCGAGTTCTCGTCTACGGTGGTGCAAGCATGCGTTGCGTATGAAAACAATGCGCTTGATAGTAGCTGCACAAGCAAGCGTTACGGGGGGGCGGGGGGGCTTGGTTTGGTGGGAGGGCCTAAGGGGCTCACCGTCAGTGGCAAGGTCGACACGGGCCACAATGCGGCGCTGGCCATCGGGTTGATAGTCGATGAGCACCTTTTGTGCTTCCAAGTCCTGCAGCTGCACATCACTGCGCGGTGGTGAAGCAACATGAGGAGCACAACCACCTCCGCGCCCTCGGGACATGTGTGTGTGTGTGTGTGTGTGTGTGTGTGTGTGTGTGTGTGTGTGTGTGTGTGTGTGTGTGTGTGTGTACCTGAGCCCAAGGTCTTGCAGGCGGTCCGCGGTGCCAATGACGACACGCGTCAAGTTCTGGGGTGCGAAACATAACAAGTGGTTTGCCAGGACATGTGTGTGTGTGTGTGTGTGTGTGTGTGTACCTGAGCCCAAGGTCTTGCAGGCGGTCCGCGGTGCCAATGACGACACGCGTCAAGTTCTGGGGTGCGCAACATAACAAGTGGTTTGCCAAAACCACAAGCGTGAGGGTGAGTGCCATGCCTTCACTCTCAATCAAGCACACACACACATGTCATGGGACCTGGCATGGGAGCCAGCCAACCAGCCAGCCAGGCAGGCAGCTAGCCAGGCAGACACAGTGGAACGAGGCCGTACCCGCACCCGCAGCGCACTCCGCTGAGCAACAGCCGCCGCCACAACGCTCCGCTGACAGACGGTCAGCATGATTCCAGTCGACGAAAGCAGTCAACGACCACAACAATACAAAAAGTAAAATAGTTGTTCAAGTCCCATGACGATGATTGCCTCCACAAATGTCAGACAGAATGAAAAGAATGTCGTTACGTGGAAGTGTAAGCGACAACACAGTTTACCAGTCAGTTAGCTCTATGTTGTTATGTGTGTGTGGTTCTCTGCAACACAAGAATGGAATGCCAAACACACACACACACACACGGCACACACACACACGGCACGGCACGGCAAGGAGGCTTCATCTCATTTTCCTTCCCTGGTCCCTGGGTGTAGATTTGCAAGTGTAACCGGGCAAGCATGGCTGAGACGGCTGCAAAGAAGGTGTGTGGTGGCTGTCTGTGTATATGTGGAAAGACTGTGGCGAAAGATGGGGAATGGGTCAGTGGCGGGCATTTGCACTGCCACATGCCTTTTGCCGCTCTGTTGTTGGCCCTTGATGGTCGGGGCAGCCGGCATGGGCAGCCCGAGCCACTGCGCAGCACGGGTGCACGACCTGGGGGAGGGGCAAGAGACCAATTCGCTTTGCTTTAGGTACTGGGTTGCGGCTGCTCACCAGCCCTGCCTTTGGCATTGGCTCATTAGGCTAAGAGTGACCGCAAGGTGGCCCTGATTACTGGTATCACTGGTCAGGTGTGTGGATGCATGCACGCCCTCGCATGCGACCGCTTGAATTGAGCTAGCTCACGGAGTCAAGCGTACCAGCCCGTGGCATCAGAGCTCATCTCCCCGCCCGCCACCTCCCGTCTTTAGGATGGCTCTTACCTCGCAGAGCTTCTGATTGAAAAGGGATACACGGTACGCTCTTGTCCACTGCAGCGCGCGGCCGCTTTGAGGGCTTTCCATCTCGCTCAGACTGGCACAGCCTGTCTTGCAGAGTTCATCTCGACCGCTCTCACTCTGTCTTGTCAATGGGTTTTGCTTTGTGGCTGCGGTGCAGGTCCACGGTATCATTCGCCGCTCGTCCAGCTTCAACACGGGTCGCATTGCCCATCTTTTTGCCAACCCTGTGACCCACGAGCAGAACAAGATGGTTCTTCACTACGGTGACCTGACTGACTCTACCAACCTTGTCAAGATTGTCATGGAGGTACAATTCAAGGATCGAAGCACCTCATCTCTATTCACATTGCACCCTTCAGTGTCACCCAAGCCCTCATGCTTCTTCACCTGTTGTCGGCGTGATGGTGTACTGGACAGGTCCAACCCACTGAGGTTTACAACCTCGGCGCCATGAGCCATGTCAAGGTATCCTTTGACATGGCCGAGTACACTGGCAACGTAGATGGCTTGGGCACGCTGCGCCTGCTCGATGCCCTTCGCACTTCGGGGCTGGGTGATTCCGTGCGTTTCTACCAAGCTTCCACCAGGTGCGATCCACACACGCGCGCACCACGCCTTGCCCTTGTTTGCACCTCCTGCCACGCGCCTCACATGGTGTGCGTTTCTGTTTGCAGTGAGCTCTACGGCAAGGTCCAGGAGATCCCTCAAACAGAAAAGACGCCGTTTTACCCGCGCTCACCCTATGGCGTGGCAAAGCTTTATGGCTACTGGATCGTGGTGAATTATCGCGAGTCCTATGGCATGCACTGCAACAATGGCATTCTGTTCAACCACGAAAGTCCACGTCGCGGTGCGTTTTGTTGGCCACCCAGTCGGCTGCTGCCTTGCCACCTGCGACTCGTCGCCTCTCGCCGCCGTCTTCATCTTATCATGGACGGTCGGAACCTTCCCGTAGGCGAGACCTTTGTCACGCGCAAAATCACGCGTGCCGTGGCCAAGATCCATCTTGGGCAGCAGGAATCAGTCACCCTGGGCAACCTTGATGCCTCACGTGACTGGGGTCACGCCAAGGACTACGTTGAGATGGTTCGTCTTGGCTTCGACCTATCTGCATCTGGCGTCGTGCTCAACCCAATCATGCGTCGATTCTTGAGCTTGTTTTTTTTTTTTATGCCCTCCCTTACTGAATGCGTTGGACCTTCTTCATGCCGCCCTCATGTGCCTGCAGATGTGGCTCATGCTGCAGCAAGATACCCCGGACGACTTTGTCATTGCCACGAACGAGGAGCACAGCGTGCGCGAGTTTGTCGAGGCCTCCTTCCGCCACATTGGCAAGGAAATTGTTTGGGAGGGCGAGGGTGTCAACGAGGTATGCCCTTGGTGCCGCTCCTTCAGCGCCTGCTCATCATCCTAAGCAACTCCTCTCAGTCGAGCTTTTCGCGCAAACGCGCTTTTGCTCACACACCATCGACGGTGCTTTTGTCCTCACTCTGCTCCTGCTCCTGCTCCTGCTCATGCACAGGTTGGCAAGGAAAAGGATACTGGCATCGTTCGTGTCAAGATCAGCGAGCGAGTAAGTTATGTCAATGCCTCACAAAGCGGAGAGGCGCTGGCGCTGGCGCTCGGCATGCATCGTGGTGTCGATCGACGGTGGGCCTAATTTTTGCGCTGATCCGTACTACCCCGCGTTTTGCAGTACTATCGTCCCGCTGAAGTGGAACGTCTCCTCGGCAACCCGGAGAAGGCCAAGCAAAAGCTGGGCTGGACGCCCAAAATCTCGTTCACCGAACTTGTCACGGAGATGGTTGAGGCTGACATTAAGCTCATGCGTGCCAACCCGTTGGCCTAGGTCATGTGCAAAGCGTCGGGTGTACAGCCGCCATTCCTTGTTGTATCGCATTCGTTCTATCTCATGAGTCAGTCGAATCCTATCAAAAGAAGCACTCTCCAAACAACTGCTCGTAGTGGCTTGGGATAGATGGATGAGATTGATAGAGAGAAACATAGATAGAGACAGAAATACTTACAGTTAGATAGATAGCGCACCAGAGGGATCAAGGCAGAAAGAGAGAGAGAGAGAGAGAGAGAGAGAGAGAGAGAGAGAGAGAGAGAGAGAGAGAGAGAGAGAGAGAGAGAGAGAGAGAGAGAGAGAGAGAGAGAGAGAGAGAGAGAGAGAGAGAGAGAGAGAGAGAGAGAGAGAGAGAGAGAGAGAGAGAGAGAGAGGAGGAGTTTGAGGGAGAAAGAAGAGGAATGAATTCGTCGAGCCAATAAAGCGAAACAAAAGCATTTGTGTAAGCTCGAGTTTCGATTTTGTCGCTTTTGAGCCACGGGGGTGTTGTGTAGTGTCTCGTCTCATGCAGCCTCTGTCAAAATCTCACAACGGTCGCCGGGTTATAGTGACCTCAAATGGGCTGGTTCGTGCCATTGCTGAGAAACTCAGTCAAAAACTCTCCATCGGAACCCTGGCAAAATCCTTACGGACGCGGTGGTGTGAGGCTAGCTCGGCCCACAGGGCAGCTTCGTCCACCGTCTCAAAGGCACCGGAAAGCCCTCTTTCTCCTCTTTCCAACGATACCGGAATCGCCGAATGTCAGAAATGGACATTTGTGCAATTCCAGCTTACACATTTGCTGATTTACGAAGAATAGAGAGAGGCTTTGAGAGAGAGAGAGAGAGAGCGTGTGCATGTGTGTGTGAGAGCGAGAGTGAGCGGGAGAAAGTCACGATGAGGGTGGCGGGGGGCTTGGGCAGGCCACGACTCGCAGCGTGCATGGGTCTGGGCGTCGTCTTGGTTTTGGTACTGGCCATCTCGCACCAAGTGTGTGCGACTTACTTTGTTGATTATCATCGCCATTTTCGCACATGGGCTCCGGTGGACGTACGTACGCTGCGGCCCCGTCCTTGTTTGAGCAGGTTCAGCCGGTTTGAGGAGCAAGCCGGCAGGTTGATGTGTTAGACCTCACCTCTTGGGACACGGTTGTGGCATTGGCCTCACCAATGCCAGGTGCAACACTGGTTGCTGGCCAAGGAATTTGCTGATGCTGTGCCTGCGGCTGCGCGCACCCACCTTGATGGGGCGCTCCTCGAGGTCAGTGCTCATCAGCGCCTCGCGCCCGCCGACCCGCCAAGACTGTCATCATTGCCCCGACGACCACCGACACCAGGCCCAGCAGTAGTTGGCTGTCGCTACGATTGCTGCTTCTGCTCGCCCACTTCTTTTGGGCGTCAGCACTCCACGGCTCACCTGCCTGTGTGTGCCCCACTCTACCCTTCCCGTCGCTGTAACGCATTTGGCCTGACAGACCTTGACAGAGGATGCAGCGGTGGCCGAGCTTCTAAGCCTGACACCCCTTCAAGCCAAGCGTCTTATTCTGCAAGTACGTCACGATGTCGCGCTTGTCAACTGCAAAGCTGTGCCAATTGCTCAAGTCTGCTCCGCCCATACTCAGGTTAAACTCGCCATTGAGGAAAGCGACCGCCTGGCTTCTCAAGATCCGTATCAAAGCTCCGAGGATGTGCTCTTGCACCCATGCCAGTTGTTCCCCGAGGCGTGTCCAGATGGCCTTTCCTTTGTGGATGGCCTGCAACTCTTCGTCCCACGCCTCTCAGCCATTTTCAATGGCCTTTGTGGACGGAGCATGCTGAGCATGCCCTGGAAATACCGCATTATGTGGCTACTGCTTCCACACTCGGCCGTGCTTCATGCCGAGCTGGATGCCTATGGCTTGCATTTCACACTGTCCAGCTTCTTGCGGCACACCCTCAACCTTGTGGCCGCCCTGATTGGCGTGCAAGTGGAGGTGGCATTCGTGGCTGCCTTCTTCTCCTCCCATGATGACTCGGCAAACCTACGTTCCTTACTTTCCAAGGGCGCTGCGGTATGCTCGCATCGTGCAACCGTCTCGCGATTGCACCTCCCACACCTTTCTACTCTTACGTGTGATTCTCGAAAGCGCTGTGTCAGCCTTGCACAAGCACCTCATCGGGATATGCTCGCTTGCCCAACGTGTTACAAATAGTGTATTACGCACACATTGGTGCTGCTGTCACTACCTCTAGACTGGGCCTTGGGATGGCACATCAGCAGTCTTCGACTCCTTCTCTCGCTGCGCGACGTGATGGTGTTGATCAACTGCTTTTGGGAGGTCAAAGCTTGGTTCGAGGAGGAGCGCAAGAAGGCGCAGGGGGGCTCTTCTACTTCAAGCGATAGTCAAAGTGAAAAGTCGCAGTAGCTGCTCGGATGCTATGGCATTTGTTTTGGAGGCACCATCAGCAACCCTCAACTTTCCCATTGGCCAAGCAACCGATTTTCGTCTGGGCCGCTCCGGCCCTTCTTCAAAGCTGTCTTGCCATGTTTGCATGTAAAGTAAAGTTTGTTGCCCATGTACGTGTGTCCCCATTAGTTGAATGCGCTGTCGCCCGAGTTGATCAGGAATACCAATGCCCCGGTGGCAAATCGGTTCATGTTGATTTTCAGCCGAGTTTATGTTTTGGAAAGGTGTCACAAGATGTCGCCCCGCAGGGGCTTGCTATCGGGAGAGACAGGCGGTTGCAGGCCCGAAGCGTGGCGTAGGTGGAGTGGTAAATGCACAGATGTGCCGAAAGCCTCCTTAAGCAATCCAACACGGGTGCATAGAGGATGATCAATCAAAGAGGTCGTCCTCCTCTGCCTCGGCTGCAGCTGCATCGGCCGCGCCCAAATCTTCTCCACTGGCCATTTGCAGCAACAACGCTTCAAGATTACCAGCCTTGACAGCGTCTTGAAGCAGCTTTTGATCCACCTTGGCCCGGCCCAGATTATCGCGCACGGTGCCCCACCGGGGTCGGGCAGCCACGTGAATGTACGCCACAAACTGGCCATTGGGTAGACACGTCACACCACTCGCGGCTTGGCGCATGTTCTGTTGCGCAGCCTCCAGGTGTTGACCACGCCCATCTTGCTGCGCCAGCGTAGGGGCTGCAGCTGCAGCATCGGTTAGATGCTGCTTCAGTGAGCGCAGGAGCTCGGGGGCAATGGCAAAGTTGCGCCGGTACTTGACCAAAGCTTGCAAACTCAGATAGGCTCGCTGGGCAAACAGGCGTTCACTGGGGGACAAAGTATCTAAACCGGCCATCACGGCCGCACGTAGGCGGCGCAAGAGTGGCATGATGATGCGCTGTCCAACGTACACGGCATCAGACATGCCTTGAGAAAAGGCCTTGTAGAGGACGGGGGGGTCCCGCCAGCGACGCACACGCTCGGCAAAGTACGCCACCTCATCCATGCACATCAAGCTCAAGCGCCTTTGTTCGACCATGACGCAGTCTTGAATCGTAATGACCATGTGAGGCATGTTGGGCGCACTCATCAGCGGTGGTCCACCCGCTTCCAGCGCTGCGATGTAGAATGTCGGCAACACGGGCTGACCCGATCGATCTTTTGGTAGCCAATGGGAGGGGCAGCGGAAGGGGTCAACCGCCGCCACCATGCTGTCTTCCTCGCTTCCCTTGCGCTGATCCTGCACAAAAAGGAAATAGCGACGTGCGCAAGTATTGGAGGGGCCAGGGCGGGCACGGCGACCATTGTCATGATGAGGATGGCCAAAGAATGTGCAGGGGCGGGGTGACAGCTGCGATTGGCAAACAGAGTCACATACCTGCGTAATGAGTTCATAAGCCTCGACGGGTGCGTAGACAAAAAGCTTGGTGATGGGGAGGCCGTTGGGCCCGAGCAGGACAGGCTGGGCCTGAAGAGGCAAGGCCGCCTGTTCAATTGATATGCTGCGATGAGCGCTGTCTAATCCTGGTGTGAATAAACGGCTCTAGCTGCGGGCCGTCATGGTCATACCTGATACACGTATTCACCACAATCGTCCAGGTGCCACCAAGTGACGGCACCACGGCGAGAAATGCGCGTTGCGTTATCAAGAATGACACCAGAGCCACTTTGCTGTACTTCGTCACGGCCACTCAGAGCTTCATCAGCCTTGTTGTGAAGCCCCGGCCCAGCGATTGGCGCATCCAGTTGCACCGTCTAGCGCATGTTAGGCACCGCCATCAACACCAGCGCCAGCATGTGAGACGCCATGTCAACAGAAAAAAAAAAAAAAAAAAGAAAGAAGCGTGAGCCGCGGCCATTCCACATGAGATGACACGGAAGCAGTGACATACTTCAGCTTGACTGGTAGCGCCTCCAAACATGTCCGGCAGTGGCCAGTTCAAGCGCGCGGGCAGGACGGGCAAGCCATCTTCAGGTCGGTGGAAGATTTGAATGTTGAGGGCCAGCTCCTGTTCATCCATAATGTCCTGGACGGAGTTGACCATCTTGAGCATGGTGTGGTCGAGCATGCTCGAGGCTGGGCGGCCCCAGCCACCACGAAAAGCAATGCGGGGCTGTCGAAAATCATGTCCGCGCACACGCTGCATGTAAGCCAGGCCGTCTGGTATATCTGCAAACTGCTCGGTAAACTCGGGAGCGGTAGCTAAAAAGGGCACACCAGCGTCAAGAGCCTCGACCATGGCTTCCGCAGTTGCACACGCGGGAACCATCTGGCAAGGCCAATCGGGGACCATAAAACTACGCGCTTGATCGACCGGGGGAAACAAGTTGCCCGCCTTGTCCGTGGCATCCTCCACCTGCACCTGCAGCACGCCCATGCCATCAGCATGCTTGTCGGCCTCGGCCGCGGCAATCCGCTGAGCTAGCTCAACCGAGTCATCGCTCAACTTCATACATGCCTCCAACTGCGCCTGCTCAAAGAGCTGATGCAGCGTAAACTGCGTCTGGGGCAATGCGCCCAGGCTTGGCACGCCGGCCATGCTACACGTCGTCTCTTCCCGCTGCCAATGACCTCGACTTGGAAATGAGCGATCACACACACACACACACACACACACACACACCACACACACACACACACACACACACACACACACACACACACACACACACACACACACACACACACACACACACACACACACACACACACACACACACACACACACACACACACACGTGTGGGTTGTCGCTTTCATCAGCAACAGCACGAAAAGAGTTTTTTTTTTTTGACAGCCGAATGTAAAAATTTATTTTGAGATGAGGAGTTTGTTGAATGGAAGCGAAAGGTGTTAGAATGGGAGGAGTGGCGTTGCGTTGCAGGCATTCGGCTGCCAAGTGGTACTGGTCAAGAGGGCAAGTGGTTGAGATGGATTGCCATCGTCGGTTCAGTCTGGTCCACTATTATGTTTGCGTACAACCGACTGGCAGACTGGCAATCAAGGTTAACGCTGGTTATAATAATTATGAGATTGGGCCATTGGAATGTCAACGGCGAGCTTATGCAAAAGACTCTACGTTGGCCCTGGGGATCAGGCCTTCGCGACCTTCAGCATGGTGTCGAGCTCGCAGCCAGTCTTCGTTGACAACCTCAATCACGTCCACCTCGTCGCCGGCCATTGCACCAAGATCGTCCTCGTTCTCTGCTGAAAAGTCATAGAGCACCACCAGGCGTAACCCAACCCCAGCGCCCTCGGGTCCAGAGGTGGACACGCCATCCTGGTCTGCATCTGATCGCATTTGAGATTCCATTTCAACAAAGGCTGCTGGCAACTGCCCTTGTAGGCCACTGCGTTTAGCCGCCAGCAGCCACTCTGCGTTGATGCGCTCTAGAACAGTAATGGTTTCGCCTGCCTCAACCGAAAGGTCTTCCAGCTCTGGCGAATCGTAATCATAAAGGACCTTCGCCTCGCAGGGGTAGCTGCCACCTGCACCAGCATCTCCGTGATCGGCACTGGCATCTGTCTCGAGCCCAGGCGTGGCGTCTGCTTCTGCAGCACCTGCTGGTGAAGCCGTGCTTTCCTCGGGCGCGGCATTTGCAATCTCGGGTTTCACCACCTCCAACGATGCACTGGGTTCTGGCATGACGCTTGTCTGAGACAACCCTTCACTGGGTGTTGACGAATCGAGGGGTTGCACAAAGGCTTTCGGAAAGATGCCCTGAAAGGGGCCCAGGGACCCACGATACCATTCGTGATCAATGTCCTCCAACACGGTTAGCTAGACCGAGGAAATGACAACATGTTGCACCCGGACAGAGCAGTGAGAAGGAAGGCGACACCCAGTTCCGCCTCCATCATGCCGCCATGTGAGCACAAATGCCAAACTATGCACACACCTCTTGGCCAGCAAAAAAAGCCAAATCATCGGGACCCTCGGCTACAAAGTCGTACAAGGCCACCACCACGGGCGGGCCTGCTTCAATGCTGTGTGGGTGCAGAAACGGCTCGACCTCGGTTGAACCCAGAGACGATGAGCCCGTGTCTCCTTTACTCGCAATCTGGACGACGTCAGGGGTGGGACCAGACTCATCAACAGGCAGGTCAGCACCGTCCTCGGGCAGTCCTTTCCGCAGGAGCTCAGCCTGAGCGTTGGCACTTGAGTTTATCTCACCCTCTTCGTCGGGCTCAGTATTGTTCAAGGCCACGTCCGCGCCATATGCATCCTCAAAAGCCTGAGCCATAACCTCCTCGGCTTCCAGTTCAGCTTTGGGGTCACGAACAAGAGTAGCTTCAGCCTGCCAGCCCTCTGGCCAGCCCTCGTATATCCTGTTGCCAGGGAGATCCTCAATCACCTGATCACATCAACCACAAGCAATTGCGTATAAGGACCCCGTACGCTATGGGATGGTCGTGGTGCTTGCAAACACACAAGAGTAAAAGCATACCTCAACGTAAGAGCTCGGGATAGCTCCTTCCGCGCCTCGATACAAGCCACGAATCCTGGGCACGCAGTTGCAGACACAAGAAACCAAAGTGAGCCGCCTTTTTCAGCAAAAAGCTCGCAGCATAGACGCAGAAAATGGCAGGCATTCGGGACCCAGTCCAACAAGGCAAGACAGTGAAGAGGGGGAGAGGGGTGAAGGAAAGAAAAAAGAGGCAGGAAGCTAGGGGTTCTCGACGGGTGTGTGTTGAAAGACAGACCATTCGTCGCTGATATAACCGAGGAGAGACAGCTCTTCGCCGGCGCCAATAGACAGCTCCCAGTCAGTTGCGGCCTGAAAATCGTACAAAGCCATGGCGCGGGGCCCTTCAACGAGCAACGGCTCTTGAACATCCACAAACATGGCTGGGAATATGCCTATCCGAAGCGTAGCCAGAGTGAGGCTCAAAAATGAAGGACAACCCCGCATGATCCAGGCGCTGAGGTCCTTTGTTTACAACCGATACTGACCTTGTCGAGTATCGATCGTGCCTTCGAGCCATTCAGGGTTGACCCATCGTGTGAGGGAGATGAGGTCGCCTGGCTTCAGTGAAAGATCTGCATCTGACTCCCCTGCCCAAGCAAACATGGCTACTGCCTACACTCAAGCCACGCAGAGACATGCGGGCGGTCGGCCATTGCCATTGTCATTGCCAAGCAGCAAGGCGCTTTCATGAGACTTGTAATACCGCAGAAAAGCGACACCACGCGACGTGCAATGTTTTACAGCACCAGCAAAGGAATAACTCACCCGGGGACCGGTCACCATGTAGGAGTACAGAACATGGCCTGGCCCAGGTCGTGGGGGGAGTTCAGGAGGCTGTGCCGGCGCAGCTGGCCGAGCTGGTGCTGCGGGCTTGGGTGGTGCTGCGGCTGGACTGGGTCGGAGCGGAGCTTTAGCCTTGGTTTTGACACTACTTGTTCGGACACTCGCCTTATCCTTGGATTGCGGCTGAGCGTGGATCGACTTTGGGGTGGGCGCAGGATGGGCCGGTCGTGCCGGGGGAGGGCGCAGTGGTTTGATGCTGCCAGAGCGCTGTGGATGTGGCGGCCGGGCGGGGGCTGGGGCGTGCCCAGAACTTGGAGGTGTGGTACTTGCATCGGCAGGCGGTGTCTCATCGGTCGATCGTGTTGCATCCGTAGGCGCAGGATGTTCATCAGACGGTGCATCCTTCAGTTTTGGCGCAGCTTTGGCTGGTGGTGGCGCATGACCGTGTGAGGGTTCTGTTGGCTCCGGTGCGTCCGCTGCTGCTGGGTTGGCATTTGTGGACGTTTGTGCCGGGCTGGGTGCGTGCGGCGCCGGCTTGGCCGGAGGGGGCGGATGCTGGTGTATCGCGGAGGCCTGGGTAGGTTCTGGAGCCGCTGCTGCTGGCCGGGGCGGCGGGGGCTTCTTTCCAGAGGTCGATTGCGCCTTGGGGCGAGCTGTGACAGACGTTGAATCACCATCGCACGCTGACTGCAGTGCAACCTCTGTACTTTGTTGTTTTGCAGGCGCCGGGCGTGGGGGTGGTGGTGATCTCTGTTTCGAGGGTGTTGACTGGTTCGTGTTGTCGGACGTAGGTTTCTTCGTGTTGTCAGGCGTTGCCATAGACTCTGATTGCGACAGATCTTCACTAGCAGGCATGGACTTTGACGAAGGGTTGACCGGGGCTGGTTGCAAATCTTCGTGCTGTGCTGCAGGGGAAGTAGAAGAATCGGGCGGCGGAGGAAGCGCGGTAGTAGCCTTGGGCTTGGGCTTGGCAGCGATGGCTGGCTTTTCCTTGCTGGAGAAGGACGGAGCACGGGTGGGTCGCATGGGCTGGCCTTCTGCCATGGACATGGGCCGCGTTTTGGGCCGGGGAAGGGGGAGGCGAGGCGTTGCTTTCTGGGTGTCATCGCTTGGTTTTGTCTCTAGCGTCGCGGGTGCTTCCTTCGCGACAGGTGCAGGGGAGGCTTCAGGCAGGGAGGTGGTGGATGGTACGGGGGGCTGTGCTTGCAGCCCAGCTTGCGGCTCCGGCTCCTCAACGACCACTGATGGCTGGGGATCTGCTGGCGGTGACCCTGCGGATGCTGGCGGGGGGCGTGCTGGCGGAGGCTTGGCTGAGGGTGCGCAGTACGCCAGAAGTGTCGCGCAAATGATTTGAACCATAAAACAAAAAGCAGGGAGCAGGGGCAAGTGAGTCCCTTCTTAGAACGAGACGTGGGTACGTGTGCCTTGCCAGCGACTGTACCGGGTCTGGCTTTGGGAGGGGGTAGGTTGGAGGTCGCGGGGGTTGGGCGGACTGGCCGATTGGGCTTGGGTAGTGGAGGGCGGCCGCTGCCGGTACTGGCTGTGCGCTGGGTAGGCGCACGGGAAGCGGCGCCAGCCACAGGGCCTGGGATCTACAGGCGGGGTTGAATGATCAAGGCCGAAGGGGCATAGGTTGTGGGCGTGTGTTATGTGGTGAGCAGAGAGGATTGCAGCCCGCGGCACGGGCGAGGCGCAAGGCTGTGTTGGGACGAGGTGCCAGCCCGGGTGTGTGTGTGTGTGTGTGTGTGTGTGTGTGTGAGCTGGCCATGAGCTGGAACGTACACCACATTCGGCGCAGCCTTGAGGCAATGGCATCATGCTGTGGATGCAGAACCAGGACATGTTGTAGCCCGGAGGAAAGCCTCGCTAAAAACAAACATGCGCCATGAGAGGACCATGATAAGCCGCCGCTGCACACAAACACAGGCGATCAGAGTCATCAAGCAAACATCAGCGAGGCACATACACGAGCCGTCATGATGCCGATCCAGTGCCACTGCCAATCCCGATGCCGATGCCGAACTTTAAACTGAAATGTGTGTCTGTGTGTGTGAGAGAGAGAGAGAGAGCGAAAGAGA